TGTGAAACTATTGGAATCTTCAACAGTGATTGGATATTTAATGATATCTAAAAATATTAATTTTTAAGAGTGATAATTGTAGTGCATAAGTGTTTTTTTAAAAAGAGACCTTATATTTTAGAGCTGTATACTGAAGCATTTGCTGATGAAATTGTATAGTGTCTAAAATATGTTTCAAAACAATGTGTGTGGTGGTAGGCGTGGGGGATGTGAATGAAACAAGACTGGCCATGTGTTGGCCATAGTTGAAAGTAGATGATAAGTACATAGGAGTTTATTACACTAGCCTGTCCATATTTATAGATGTTGGAAATTTTCCATAATAAGAAGTTTAAAAAAAAAAGATGATCATGGGATTTGAAGTGAGCCCGAGGTTACAATCTTGGCTCAGCTCTTTATGAGCTGTGTGACCTTGAACAAATTATTTGATCTCTCTGTTTAGTAGACATAATGCATGCAAGGTGCCCAGTGTGCTACCCACCATGTAATACATGTTCTTCATGACTAATAATGATAACAAACTTGGCCCCTTTTTGTAGGTTTCCACTACCAGGGACAATGATAGTGAGACTTCGGGTGTAATGAAATGGCATATTGTAGGGTACAACTGGAACATTACCCACGGAAGAGGGCCATCTGTCTATAAGCACTGAGGCACACACACACTCATCTACCACTTTAAGGCAGAACAGATTTTTCAAATTAGGTACATAGGAGAAAATTGGTAACTGAAGATCAGAGGAGTGAGGTGTTCTTGAGAGGTTTTGGGTGTGGATATTAAATAGGAATTTATGGAGCCACTGGGGGTTGCAGCCAAGGCTAGATTAATCCTACAAAAGGAATGGTCTGGATACTCTCCTGAGCCTGAGTCTAACTTTAGAAATCAGTGTGCCCAAAACAGCTCAGGTCCATGGTCCTTCCTCCTAGAACCTCCCTTTCCCTGTCACTAACGGATCATTTCCAGGACCTTGACAACCACCTTAAATTCCATGCAGACAACTGAGATCCAGCCTGCTCCCCCAGCATCCGTGGGCTTCCTGGGGTCTCTCATTGGCCCCTTCCCCTGGCCTGGCCTAGAGGGAGCAGACTTTGTGCAGTAAAGCTCTGATCTGGTTGATCGGCTATTGTTCTGCTGAATTCATATATGACCCTGTGGCTTCCCTTGGAGAACAGATGATGTCCTCGTTCATAGCAAGCCTCCCAACGCAGTGTCTGGATGGCTTCTAAACAGTGAGCCTCTCCAGAGCGTCCCCTTTTCCAGCTAGAACCCAAACCTGGGCAGTTTCCCCCTATATCTCCTCCCCTTCTATTCATTGCCCTTGGTCCCATCCCTCTCACCATGAGGCACAGAGAAGGACCTGGGTAGAGGGAAATGCAGTGCTTGTAGTTCCAATGGCCTCTAGGCCCTGACCCCAAATGTGAAACAGGCTCCTGTGACAAGGCACAAAGTGTGTCCTAGAGCAGGGGACGCTGGTCCTGAGCCCAGGGCTCATCTCCATTCCGGTGGGCAGTTAGAGAATAAGAAATGCCACTCTTCACTGCAGCCTACACACATGTACCCACACCTTTCTTTCTGATCTTTCCAACACAGAATGACCTGATTTCAATGTACCATTAGAAGTACGTGGTCGAGTCCAAAATGTCAATAGTCAGCATGACAATTGCTATGACAACAAGAGCGGCCACTTGTCAAGCGTTCACAGTATGTCAGATGCAGGCAAAGCCCTTCCTACCCACTTCTCGTGTGAATCCCACGACAACTGAAGTAGGCGAATACTGTTATCTTCGTTTTACAGATGAGAAGGTTCAGGGCACAGAGAAGGTAATTAACTTTCCCAAGGTCACATAGCTGGTAAGGACAGAAACAGTGAACCAGCCCACCGCACCCTTTCCTGGCGTCTTGCCACAAATCCCTGGCACATCCCCCAGGTATCCTCTCCCCTTCTCTAGTAGCAACAACCCGGGGCACTTCCAGAGCCCACAGTCCCTCTCACAGCAGAACATTTCATATAAAGGAAGGATCATCTGAGCCTGATTTAAATTGTTCCTTTAGTTCTTCCTTTTGTTGCAAGGAGAGGAAAAGAATCTGGAAAAGGAATGTCTCCCCTGCTTATCTCCCTTGCACACAGACCCAGCAAGAGTAGTAATTGATGGCTGGAGCACAGCAAGGTTGATAGGCTGCCAAACAGAACCCCGAGAAGCCACACAGCAACAGCCCGAATCTCATGGACAGGAGCTGGCTTATTAACTTTCAACCTGGTGTTTCCTTCTGACTTGTTTATAGGGTCTTCACGATTTGGGGGACAAGGAGCGGGAAAGCTGGTGGGGAGCATTCCATGTCCCCCTCCCCCCACCCCAGTCTGGCCGCTGCGAGCTATTTATGGAATGATAGGGAGGAAAGGGCTGTCAGGCCCGGCCGGGACTGCTATCTGCCAGATATGAAAACCAATTGCTTTTCATAATAAATTCCAGCTGGAGCCATAGAAATAATAGGGACCAAGAGAAGGTAACACCAATTTGCTTTATTTGATTAGCTCCTTCTTGGGCAGTCCAACCCCAGCTTCTTTTCATTAAAATAAGGGCAAATTGAAAATCGCAAAAGAGGCTTTCTTATCAGGAAACAAACGATTGGGTAGATTCGGATGCCTAAAAGCCCCCCGTCGGCTGCGAGCCATCAGTGCCTGCGATCCCCAGGAGCCCGGTGGAGGGTGTCGCAACACCTGTTTTCCTTCTCTGGATAAAGGTGGAGACAGCGCCAACGCTGCCCCGCAGTGAGTGCCGTGTGCACCCCGACTCCTGCACACCGCCCTGTACCCCAAGGACAGCCCGGCCCACACGGCCAGGCCAGGGAGACCTCTGGGGGGCGGGCGCCAGACTCTCCCATCCACAGGCCAGGACGCCTCTGTGCAGGACTGAAGGCAGGATGAGGGACAGCTCAAGCTGCGGGCACTCAGAGGCAGGAGCCAATCTGTATTTCCTGAGGATCACTACGTGCAGCCTGCTAACCACAGTTTTGTTCCTTTAAATGGAGGCTGGAGGTCACTGGAAAGACTGCCCATACAAAGAGATGGGCAAGAGCAAGTCTGCAGGGACTCCTTAATGGTTCCTCTCCTAGAGCTCCCAGGGCACTCCGCTTGAAATTCTATCACGATATTCAGTGATTTATTCAATTAATATTTATTGAGCAGCTATTATGGGCCAGGCATTTGCGTAAGGCACTCTAGGTGCTGCTGCGGACGGAAGCATCCCAAGCCCTGCTTGTGTAAAGCCTGCAGTCCCATCCGGGAGGAAGAGGCTGGCCCTGTGCCCACTGGGGTGGGAGGAGGAGAAGGAAGCCAGCCAGCCCGGAGACCTCCCCCGGGGACGCAGCATCTGAACAGGCCCTAGGTGAAGGCCAGGGCTCCAGGGAAGGAGAGAGCAGCAAGGCCAGCGGCCCGAGAAGCAGGTTGGAGGGCAGAGAGCAGGTGCGTGTGCAGGCAGAGGGTGAGGCCAGAGAGCCGGGCAGGCCCGGGGTTGGAGGAGCGTGGATTTTGCTCCAAGTGTGATGAGACACACAAATGAACCAGGTAGGGGACCCACACCAGCGGCAAAGGAGGAGCAGTGAGAAGTCTGGACGTTCCAGCAAGTGTGACACAAGACCTGAGACAACATAAATTAACTCTATCGGCGCCACTGCAGGGAACAGAGTGGAGAAGCAGCACGAGGCACACACAGGGAGGCTTTGTCTAGGTCGGGCCAAGTGGGGTTGCCCCCCC